GTGACAGTAATTTAATGTGCGTGTGCCAGGTCACTGGAGTTCGCATGTGCCTTGATTATGAATGCACACAGGCGCATCTCCACAGAGCGCACTGCAAGGTGATCCATGTGGCTTGATGCACTCAGTGACTGGCTGGCTGTCTGGCAGACTCTCCCTCCCCTTCCCCAGACAGTCTGGGCTCTCAGAGAGGGGGATGGGCTGCTAACGACTGCATGCATGATATTTCTCCTGTACTGCCATTAAACGTGCACAGTGCGGTATATGTGACTACATTTAAGAATGTATATAAGCAAACCATGTGTCATTGGAAGTGCATGCATTCAAACGAAGCTTTGCAGTTGTTGCACGCCCAATAGAAGATTCTGCATTGTTCAGTCTGTGCACATTGCTCTGGCCGTGGTGTTTCCAGAGCGGCCGATGAGCAGCTCAGCAGGGCTCTTTGGCCAGATCTGTTCTCCAGAGGGAGGGGTGTCAGACAAGAAGTGGAGAGAAACCTGCCTGCCTGTGTCTGAGGACTGCAGAGAAAGAAAGCTCAGATATTACATTGTAAGTGCCTTGCTGCAGTTTCGCGTGGGTGCAGTCGTTGTCTTGTAGGCAGCACATTACATTACTGTTTCCTCCATAAAAAGAAAAAAAGGTTTATCTTTCATAAGACACTTCTGGCAGCAACTCGAGTGTAAAAGAAGACAAGCACTGGTTTCTCCATTTTCACTGCCTTACACAATCACAGCAGAGCCGGTCTCACCTGTTTATAGTATCTTTCATGAAATATAGGCCTAAAATATCATTGTAAGCAGAACAGATTTGATTCCTTTTACTGATCATATGTTGTTGCTTCTGCAAATTGAAGGTAAAATGTACTGTACAGTTATTAATGCAGAAAGAGTTACACTGTACTGGTTTTCTTGATTTTTTTGTTTCAGTCAATAGCTTGTGGGATTAGAAAGTGAAAGTGATCATTAATCAGGAAAATATTAATTTTATAATATTGTCAACAACTGGCCTAATTATATATTATATTAACCTTGAATTGTTATGCTTTATCGTTGAGAATGAACAAGATTGATTTTTTTTGTGTGTGTACAGTTTGGTACCGAATGTGTTTATTGTAATAATTCAAATGGCCTATATGCAATAATTATAATAATGGAAAAAAAATCCAAATGGTTCAAATACAGGGGCATCCTGATCTAAAACCGCACTCTAAAACACTCTGTGACACTGAAATGCTTAAATGTAAAAGAGCCTCTCTCTACCAATCCCATCCTTTTGAAACAGTGGACATTTGCATATTGAATGAAGGCTGAGGAAGTTCCTTTGAACTCAAGCACAGTTTGTTGCTGAGGTGTAGTGCGATGATGCTGGTTGTGTGCTAGCGCATCTGAGGTGTAAATACAGCCTATTAAGCTTTTGTCAGCACAGCCACGAAGAGCTGATGAACAGGACTGATGATGAATTTGAACGGGTGTTTTCTACATTTTCACCCACAGCGTGTGTCCTGTGAGGCTCATGTATACACTGTAAAATATAAATGTGAAATGAATGCATGTAACACAAGGCTTTTGTAAACCACAAAACCGCAAAAAAATAATGATTTGAAAAACATTTGAATTATTTTTATTTATTTATGCTATTGGTGGAATAAAATGTAAAGATGCGTGTGAATTAGTGATTCATGGTGCATGAGATCTTTCACTGTGTTCAAACGGTGTAAGCCTGTATATTTCTCCTTTGTTATAAAAGTGCCTCAGTCACAATTATCTTGAGTTTCAAATATGGTAGATATTACTCATTAACTAGGAATGATATATTCTTACAATGGTCCGTTTGCTAGCATTGTAAGTATGAAGTTGAACGATCAGTGTTTCCTAGAAATGCGTTTAGCTGTCACTGTTACACAGCATTGTCCGTACTGCTATTCGTGCGGCTCTCCTGTCATTGCAAGAGATATTGTGTATCTGAAGGCTCTAACATTTACTGTAGACATATGGTGAGTTATGTAAATGCTAATTTGAGGCTGTCAGATCTTCTCTTCTTTTTATGTTGACAATATTAAATATTAACGTCATAAAATAATTAACATTTCTGAAATTGCATACATCTTACTGTTTCATTTCATTGCATTGCATTCAATGACAAAATACAAAAAATGAGTGGCATCTGCAACTAAATTATGGTAGACTTTTTTTAGAATTACATTTATGTTTAGGAGCCATTTTTTGGGAGAGAGAGAGAGAAAAACTCTAAAAGGAAATTTGCTGCACTTGCATAAACAAGAGTTACTTAAACTATCTTAATCAAATCTCATGTCATCTGAACCCAAACAAACCATAGTTCTGAGCAGAATTAACTAATATTAAGCAGAGGTTTTTACACTTTTATATTTTGCTTAAATAAATAATTAAATATGATCAATATTATCAGTTAAGCTTACTAGTTTCTCAGTGTTGAGCTGACTGAATTTTCGTGGCACCTGCATGTGAATGAAAATGCTTTACTAAAAACACTTGTCTAAGTCTTAATAACTTTGTTGTGTTTTATTTAGTCAGAATTGGCTCAGCAGCTGCATGCTTACCTCTTTAAACTCTGAAATCAAACTCGTTTTCAGCATGATCTGCTGTGATGTTTAGTGGATGAATGAATTCTGTTCCTCACGCAGGTGTCCTACAGGTGTGCTTTATCATGTTCAATTAACTATATTTCTGTGCATTAATGATTTGACCAGAGAATGACGTTAAACCAAAGGTCCGTTGGCTTCATTACACTATGTGTCATCTTTTCACTGCAGCTTAATTTGATCATTATTTGATAATCGATTATATTTGAATGGACTGTATTTCAAATGACCGTATTTTTCTAGCAGGACACCTAAAACAGTGCAGTAAAACGCATAGGTTGACATTAAACATATAATAATTAGTAGCTAAATATAGCCTATTTCATTGCAGTAACGTAGCCTACATTGCCACGTTTAAGTGTAATATGTGTCGGAACTTGTCGATATAGTCATGCTTTGGGTGAATTCAGGCAAATTGGCAAACTTTTTGGTATTGAGATGACTGGGAATCAGGCGTATTCTGACCGGATTTGAATATATATATATATAAATCACGCATGTTGATGTCCCTAGAAGTCGTTTCAACAAAACACAAGTTTTATTTACTTGATTTATTTACAGGTGCATCTCAATAAATTAGAATGTCGTGGAAAAGTTCATTTATTTCAGTAATTCAACTCAAATTGTGAAACTTGTGTAATAAATAAATTCAATGCACACAGACTGAAGTAGTTTAAGTCTTTGGTTCTTTTAATTGTGATGATTTTGGCTCACATTTAACAAAAACCCACCAATTCACTATCTCAACAAATTAGAATATGGTGACATGCCAATCAGCTAATCAACTCAAAACACCTGCAAAGGTTTCCTGAGCCTTCAAAATGGTCTCTCAGTTGTGTTCACTAGGCTACACAATCATGGGGAAGAATGCTGATCTGACAGTTGT